AGTAAGCCCGGTCCTTTCAGATGAATCACCTAAGTTATAATAAGTGTTCCTAATTGCACTCCTGGGAGCTTTGTTTACTCAGGATTAGGGTAGGCAGGAGCCCTGCCGTGGGGCTGGCACCGAGCGGCTCCCGGCGCTGCGGCTCCATCTGCCGGTACCGACTGCCCCGGTCAGCCACGGGCTGCGGCAGCTGCTCGGTTACCTCCGCGGGTCTCCTTTTACCAAAAAATGTTACGGTGCATTGGATGGAAGTCAATTCGGCATGGATCTCTTCTCCTGCTACCCTTTCAGCCAGCAGAGGTACTAAGATCCCTAAAAGACCACTGGAACTTGGTGATAATGTAGCAGTTTTTTATCTTAGGAGCTTTATGCTACATTGCACCTCATATTCCCTCTCCTCTTTGCCAACCCTAAACCATTCACAAGCCATAAGTCATGTCCTGCAAAATAATGAGATTCTACAAGTGCTGGATTTTTATCTTGGAGTCTTCACACTTTCTAAGTCTGCCATGAACACAAAGGCTATTTGTCCCCTAATGGCAGCAGAAACATATCCCAGCAGCACCTTGCTCTAGCAGCAGGATCCTTAAGAGGAATAGCAAATAACAGAAGGCCAAGGAATTTGTAATACCATTTGTTTCAAAGGTCAGCTCTATTTAGTGCTGAGGGAAAATTCTGCTCTTACTTCCATTAGTGAAATTCCTTGCTGGCGACTGGAAGTTGCATTTATGTAACTAAAAGAACAATTTGGCCTCTTGTTCACCATTAAATTTCTCTCTGAGGTAACTGTGTCTTTTTCTAAGAACATTTGCTCCAGCTAAGACTCAGCCTTGTTGTTTGACAATTTCATTATGGCATATATTTAATTTTTATTATAAGTCAGGGGCTGGATGTTGGATTTGGTCCAGGAACAGCTGCCAGTGCTGTGGGTAAGTCAGGCATGTTTCAGGACTCAGATGACACCTCTGTCCAAGTCCTCCTCCTTTCTGTCCCCCAGGTCATCCAGGGTCCATGACAACTGGAGCCAGAGAATAGAGGTAGAGGAGAACTACTCCAGCCCTTCTCCCAGCTCTTAGAGCTGATACCAAGTTGGAAAGTGGACCTGAAAACAATTTCCCTTCTCCTCTGCTCCTGAATTTTGGGTTAAAGCATCTGGTGATGATTCATCTTGCCTCTTATTCCAACAGCCCAAAGCTCTAAGCTGGCCCTACAGGTTCCCCAGGGCTTTAGATCCCAGGCCAAGGTATTTACAGTTTGAAAAACAGGTATGTTATAGAGCTAAGTGCTGGATTCAATGCCAGATTTTATACAGCAAACAGTTGTAGCCAAGTACTAAGGTCGTATTCTCCTTTTCTAACTGGCAGGCCTCCCACCCCATTTCACCCATTTGCTGTATCTTATCTCGGTGTAACAACCTTAAGACCATTCACGCCTTTTTGTGCTCCTAAAGAGGGAATCATATTCCAATACACCACATTGGGTTTTGGATTATTCAGACTGTCCAGATCATTCTGCAGCTCCCTTCTTTCTTTCTAAAACCAGGGAAGAGGCAGGGAGAAGAGAAAATGCTTTTTCAGGTCTTACTGTGGCACAGAGCTGTAACCAAGCTGGGGAGTTCACACTGACCCAAGTGTCTGGAAATACTTCCAGACCATGCAATTTTTGAAGAGCAAGACCTATGATATGATTAATTACATTATTAATTTATGTTAAAGTGTGTTTTCCACTTAAAATGTAATCACAAATTAAAATGGCTGTGATCTTTGTATGGGAAAAAACAAGAGTCAGCAAAGTGTTTACAGAAATAAAACCCTTTTTGCATCATTATTTTGGTAAAGCTTATTGAACCCAAAACACCACCTGTCACAAAGTAAAGTTAACAGCGAGTCACTGGTGGGCACTGCAAGCAGAGCTGCCTGAGCCTGTAATCAGTTCACCATGAAGCCCCAGCACCTTTGTACAGCCTCACGGGGCTGTGGGAGGTCCCAGCTCTGCAGCAGGAGTGCAGAACCTTTAAGGTCCCTTCCAACCCAGACTATTCTATGATACTATGATGCTTTTCTCTGCAAGGGAAATAGAGCATTCCTCTGGGCTTGTTCTGATCTGGTGTTTATTCTGCTGCACCACTGGCCCAATGACATAGGCCACAGCTTGCTGAGATGAACAGGAAAAGGTGTTCAGATGAAATTAAAATCTCCAGTCATTCTTTTAAGATTACTAGTAATGGTGCAACCATAATCAAGCTCTGTATGGATCCATAGAGCTCAGTTACAGAATCACAGAATTGTTAGGATTGGAATGGACCTCTTGAGATCATCTGGTCCAAGCCTCCTGCCAACACAGGGTCACCTCAAGGGGGTGACAAAGGGATGCAACCAGGTGTGTTTTGAACGTTTCCAGAGTGGGAGACTCCACATTCTCCTAGGGCAGTCTGTTCCAGTGCTCTGCCACCCTCAATGGAAAGAATTTCTTCCTCATGTTGAGGCAAAACTTCTTGTATTTTAGTTTAGGGCCATTGCTCCTTGTCCTGTCCCAGGGCACCACTGAAAAGAGTCTGGCACCATCCTCTTGGCACTCACCTTTGGGATATTTATATCACAGAATCACAGAATATTCTGAGTCAGAAGGGACCAACATGGATCATCAAGTGCATAAGAGCCTCTCTAGAGACAGGCACAGTAAGTCTGGACATGTATATGAATATTTTGTCCATAATCTCCAGAATCCCAACAGATATTTGCAATAACCGTATGGCAAAAAAGGTGTTAAAACCACACCTAGGCATAATCATGTTTGATCACTGGATTTCCTTGAACAGCTTGACAGGTTAGCTGCCAAAACTTAGCTCAGGTGTCTGAACTGAAGGTGCTATGTCCTGGCAGGTTTAAGGCAGGTAGTATTTTACTAGCATCAAGAATTTAGGGTTCAAACATGCTGTATAGGAGGGAGCAGCTGAAACTTGCAGATTCCTGAGGATCTGTTTCCTCTCTTAAGACGCAGGAGGTTGATCAACACCTCAAACCTCAAACTCCATGTATCATGCATAATCAAAATTTGTTAGAACACCCAGAAACTATTATGTTTAATATAGGAAAGCCAATTTGGCACGTTAAAGCTCCCTTTGACTCATAATTCTCCTCATTCTACCTTTTAACCCCATGTAACTAATTGCCAGAGTAATACCACCAGGACAGAGACAGGAGTGGGACAGGTCACGTACCATCCACACCACATTGCTTCCTTCCAGCCCACAGTGGGCAGCAGTAGGGGCTGCTGGGCAGGGCATGGAGAAACTCTCACCTGAGAAACCAGGTTTCCTTTTACTGCTCCACCACAGATCTCCCACGACAGGTCTTTGGCAAGCAAGTTGTTGTTCAGTGTCTCTGAGTTTCCCACCTGTGAAATGGGAATAGCACTTCCCCCCTTTCCAGGAGCACCTTGAGGATAAATACTGTAAATTCTGAGCTGGTCACGTTATAAGGGTATCTAGATAAACACCATCATTGACCAAAAGAAACTTAACCCAATGGGAGAAAGGGGTATAGTCATGCTGAACTCAACTTCTTAAAAAAATATTATGGGCTTTCCATTGCTGTTTACTGACTTTAGTACATCAGGTTTGCTTTTTCTTCTGATGGTTTTCTCTGTGTTTCAACAAGGCTAATGCATCATGACCAACTGTACAAAATACAGCTAAGAAAGAAATACAACATGCTCTCATTTTCAAGTTTTTCTTTTTGTAAGATTGAAAAGAGCAATGTTCTATTTGCATCTCAGTCTGAGAACTAGTTCACTGTTATCCACAGACAAAACCCTGGGAAGCCTTTCTGTATCACTTGGGCAGCCTGGTAGAGGAGTGTGAAAGGCATCAGGACATTTGTATTCAGAGACCGATTTCACAGTATCTAGATAAAAATGGAACAAACAAGCTATTGGAGTTGTAAGCTCTCTTAGCACTATTTTTTCAAATTCAGATGGAGAAATTACGAAGGCCAACATTTTTTAAAGTTATAAAGCAAATGCAAACATACTATGCTTAGAGGAAATGCAACAGGAGTCAGCATTGTCACCTTGTTTTGGAAGCAAAAGACAAAGAACAGCCGGTTTAGTGATTATCCAGTGCTTTTTCTTTAATGTTTATGAAGGGCACAGATCTGTGTGATCGTTAATTCTACCTTTCTCACCTTTTACAGCTGTGTTTTACAGCTGTATTTTAAGGCAGTATTTTACGTAGCATAACTTTACTCACATCAGGAGTTATAACCAATGTACCCAGCAGAGAAACCATGAGAATCTGAACAGACTGATCTTCACAGATCAATAATCACTGCAGGACCTGTATAATTTTTGATTATTTCCAGACATTCAGTGAGGTAGAAGCAGAGTCTGGACTCCTGTGAAGCACTTGCTGTGCATATTTTCTGAAAAAATTCTAATAAAGTTTTAGCTTTCTAAAATCTGCACTTTCATTTCTCTTCAGCAAAAAGCAATAAACTGCTGCTTATCTCTGCACCCTTTGAAGGAAAGTCTCCTTTGAGGCTTCTTCTTATTTACCAGCAGCTACTACACAGTCATATCCAAAACACCTTGAAATATCTTCTAAGAGTAGGGACCTGCTTGGTGTCTTAGACACTGCTGCACTGCAACTTCACATCAAATAGAGATGTTTGATGAAAACGCTATTTAGCATCTGTGGTCTTCTTCCTTTTGCCCTAAATTAATTGAGATTATTTATCTCCCTATGTCCCCTCCTATGCTTTCCATTCTTTGGAAGGTCTAAGCTTGTGTTCCTCAAGGTTATAGGCTTGGGGGAATTTTTGTACAAGGAAGAGTGAGACTTATTAGAACCAGCTTGCATATATCCTCTATAATACCTATCACAAGGATTACGTATTATTCCCCTATCAGTATCTGCATACAGATATCCAGCAATCACATACCATTTCTGAGTCACACCTATCTTTTTACCTCCCAGTACAAAGTAATAGCAAATTAACTACTGACTTTTTTCCTTTTTTTTTTTTTTTTTAAAGAATGTAACTGCATGTTCTGGTGTGTCTCTCCTTAGATCTTCCTCAAAGTACAGTGCACACTATGAGAAAAATTCCATTCTTTCACTCCATTTTAGCTGTTAAAGTCATTCTTCATTACTGTAGTTTTTACCTTTATCTCTTCTCTGTCCTTTGTTTGCCTTTGATATTTAAGAGGGAAAAGTTCAGTCTTTCCTCACTGTGCAAACAGTTTCCATTCTACACTAACCACACTCTGCTATCTGGACTTCTACAAGTAGATTGGGAGACTTGAGTAGCACCCATTAATCATGACCTTTACAGCTCAGGTTTGAACTTAGAAGTTAGATACAAATGCTGACGAAACTTTGGAAGCTTTTTAATTGACACCAGGTGTGGGATTCATACTCTGTAGGTTTTAATAGTCAAAATATTAAGATCTGCTCTCCATCACCCCAGCTGGCTGCCAAGACCATAGTTGTGGCATGCAGAGTCTGTGGTGAGCAGTGCACAGCCAGGTTGCAGGATACAGGAGAAACCACACCAAAGATCAGCATCCATCTGAAATGTTGTTGCAGCCGGCCTTACTATTCTCACTAATATTCACGCAGTGTCACATGCCAAAACAGCTGTGAAACTATATATATACATATATATATATGAAACCAGCCCCAATACAATTGTGCCTTCTCGAGAAATCTTAGCCTTAATTTTCTATGTCTAGCGTCAGCGAGTCAAAGTTGCAAGGTAGTTTTTTTGACTTTCCAAAGACAAAATTATTAACCAGACTACTGCCATAAATATATTAAGTAAATTTAATGCTGCTTAGCATAAGTCTTTGTTATATACTTTCATCCATATACTCCAGTGTAAAGGTATTTTTTACAATATGAAGTATTTTTAAAAGTATATGGCTCTAGATAAAATGTTCACAAAAAGTCTCAACGCAATTAGAGAATTAGGAAAAAAAAAATCAGACAAGAGTACAAAATCTTTGGAAGAAAAAAGATTCAGAAAACAGATAAAGGAAAACATCCCATTGCAGTAATTCCAGATGACCAAGTGGTTCCGTAGTCAGAAGGGCTGCCACTCAGTGCCGTGTCACCCATAAGAACCTATCCTGCGTCAGCAGGGACTGCAGGGCACTGCTGGGGGTGGCTGCCTCTCAGAAATGCTTGTCCCTGACAAGTTTGATAAAGCAACTTCCATGGCAGATACCGTTGTTGGCTCAAGGAGAATGAGTACACCTGGGAATGAAGGAAATCCTGTCTTCCCTTACCCAACCACTGCTGGTCTCTGCAGAATATTCAGGTGCACTGGTAGGATGTAGTGAACAAGTTGTTTTACGAATGACAGGGAGCTTTTATTCTCCCAGGTCATCTATTTGGCACTATTCGCAACAGAAAATTATTTGCTAGCAGTATAAAAAAAATTTCACCATCTGCAAAAGGACATGAGTGTCAGGGAGCAGAGCACAACGTTATCGTTTAGTTTTGCTAAATCAATTATCTATATAAAATATTGCATGTCATTATACAACAGGATATTCAAGAAAGGTTCAATTAAACTTCATTCATACGAAAAGCAAACTCCATAGTGGGTGGATTGCTTTGCATTCCACTGCTTTCAGTAAGATGTTGCATAGGCATCTGTCCAAATAAAAACACCTTTACAACACTGCAGGTTTAGAATGCAACAAATAACACACTGCAAGAATTGAGGTCAGACATTATTCACCATTTGGTAACATTCCATTCAAATGATATTGACTCACACAATACCCAACAAATGCAGCACTTTAGGTAACAAAAACAAATCTGTACTCTAAGGAAGTAAAACAGTGCAAATATTCCTGTTAAACAAAAATACACCATGTATATACACACACAACACAAATGCACTGTTTTGTTCTGCAGTATAAATAGATCTGATAAATAGTTCCTAAAACTAATGAACTACTGATTGTCAGTCCCAAACAGTTTTCATCTAGTATAGAATGTAATAAGCTTCAAGGATCAGATGACCACAGCCAGATATGGCTACAAAAGAGTATCAAAAAATTTCACTGCATGGTTATTTAAAATATATTCTCTGTACATCAAAGTTAATAGTACATTTATACTAAGTTGATATCTCAAAGTCAGCTCTGATCATGTAAAGAGCAGCACACAGAACATCCATGACTCTACAAGGAGCCTCCAGGCTGGACCTGTGTGGAGTGCACCATAATGCTGCAAGACACTTAAGGCCCAATCCCAGGACTTAACAAGAGGGAAGCTTTTTATCTGCCTATGCAGTCAACATCTTGGCTTAATTTCCATTTTCTTCCTCTATTGATGTAGCACTAGAGTTCTGCTGTCTGCTAATGACATGTCTGTTTATCCCTGAACTCCCTAATACCATACAATAAGTACACTTAAAATGCATACACAATAAAAGTAAATATTAGAAAGGGAAGAGATGGAAACTTGTTGAGGAAATCCTAATTAAGGGTTATTTGCATTTAAAACAGATTTTAAGCAGAAAAAAAGTCTTTTTGGAATTACAGTAAAACAGACAAGTAGCACTTAATTTGATCTGAAGTGAAACACATGGGTGTCAATCTCTCTTCAACTATTATTTAGTCTCCATCTCCTCAATGCCAGGGCTGTGCTGAAACCGTAACAAACAGCTGTTGCAAAGGCAAAAATCTAGAGAAGAAAAAGGGGAAAAAAGTTAATCACACATTACATTGTTCTACAATTGTTTTTATTCTAAATGAATATATAAACACAAATTATTTAAAAGTTATCCCCCTCCCACCAAAACATTTAAGGTAAAGATAAGTGTGGGATCCTCTGAAGTCTCCTTATGAACTTCTCTGTTATAACCCCATTTTATTACTACCCTATGTTACTACTTTACACTTGATTGCTTCAGAAGACATTTTGAAATAGAACATTAAATAGAATTCCTGCAAAGTTATGGTACAAAGTAAACATGTATACATACACTGTGTATTCCAGTTTTCTCTTATCTAGACTGATCAAACATTAATCTCATATTTGTTTCCAAGTGAATGTCTTCATCAGCAAACATCTAGGAAGACATCCCTCTAAATAGCAGAGCTCTTTAACTTGCAGAAATACAGAAAGAACTCTAAGTCTGGCCTCCTCAACCAGATATCCAGTCACTAGAACAACTTCCGGAACAACACCAGGAAGTTGCTCTTGCTCAAGAACTGAACTGGACAGACTTGAACTGAAGGTCATGTCACAATAAAACTGAATACATAATAATGGGTTATGTCTCTTTGAAGATACGAATTCAATCATAACAATCTATTCCTTGCTTTGCATACACGTCTTAATTTGACAATTGAAGTTCTGAATAGATGCTACACCATAGAAATACCACCTGTAAAAAATGAACATATATATTTCTAATCATGGTATATGAAAGTAATTTAAAAAGACAGAATGTTAGCAACCTTATATATTTTTTTTTGTCATGTAGCTTACAGGACCATTTTAATGAAGTATTTCAAAGGATTACAAATTTTTTTCTGTGTGTTCTGACTTCCTAAATATACACTTTTGCAAAAAATGCAAAGACACTAAAGACTATAGTTATCTGATTCGCCATTTTCAAGCATCTCTTAATTGAAGATACTGAGGCAAGTTACAGAAGAGTCTACTCCTCCCATATCTTGAGAGGTATTTGAGGGCTTTGAAGAACTGAATTCTTCCTTAAAAAAGTAGTACGGAAGGAGGAAACAGTCTCTTGGAGTCGCCACTATCCTGTTGTCAGACAAAATTACTTAAGTGACCATATATTCAGTGGGATCTGAACACACTAAACTAGGATTGAAGAGGTACACTTAAGGGTAGAATTTGAGATACCTGCTTAGTATAAAGACCTCCCTTAGTTCAGACACAGCTATGAGACACCACCTCTGTCCTTGTGCCACATGGCCACACAGATCAGATGTGCTTGTGTGTTACTGGGAGGTGGCTAATGGTGAGGAACTCCGGACTTGGAGACTGACGTGACCACTTCACCTCTTCAAACTATTCATCTGGTTTTATCTTAAGATGAACTGAGGGTGCTTACTATGCAAAATTTATGGTGTACTTTTAAGTTTTAAGGACAACAGATACTCGAGGAGGGTTTGAGAAGCTTAATAAATACATATTGTTCCCTGAGGTATGCAAGACCCTCTAGATGGAACAAAAAATAAGAGCATTAGTTTTAGTACTTTAAGCTAAGCCTACATGGCATACCTCTACTTGCCCCTGAGGAGTCCAGCCAGGGAGAAAACTAGAGCCTGGTATATTTTCTGATTCAGCTATGCACGCCCACATAAGCAGATACAGTGATTCAATGATGATGGAAAAATGCATTCTGAACTTGGGCTATCAAGAAAAGCACTCTAATAATTGCCATAAGAGACAGCATGGCCCTGACACATAACTTTTATGTCTGATTTAATAAGTACGTATGTGGAGCTTCACAGAGATCTAGTCCAAGTTTTATTTCTCCATGGCATATTCAGGACTATCTAAATGGTATAAAAAAAAGGCAACTGAAAATTTGAGCACAGGTATGAAATTCGTACCTCATTCTTTGATAAAGCCTCAGTTATTTTTTCTTCAAATAACCAACACCATTTTTACACATTACCTTGTCTAAAAATTATAAACTGTAGTGATTATATACGTAAAACACTACGGTGAAGAGTAGCAACTCTACACTGCAGTGAAGAGTAGATATCCCATTAGTTATACCAACTATTATACCAATAGTTTTCGCATGTTGCTGTTAGACACTATTTGCTGCTCTCAAAGACAATCATTTCTCTCACAGCTCCTCCTTCTATTCCATCTTGCTGTTAAGTTCCCAAGTTGAATGGCTGGCTACAAGGACTTATAACAGATTTCTGTTCCCCTGATACAAATACACAAAATACATACCGAAGCTGCTATGCTTATGTTATATTCATGACCAGTTAGAATCCTCTCCTGTGCAGTGGAATTGAATTTGCGGGGAAAGTGATGCAGAGATGTAGTTGCTGCTTGGAGTAGAAAAGCTCCAAAATAAAAGACAAAAGTAGCCCCATGGAAAATAAAATCCTAAAAAACAAATAACAGAATCAGTCTGGGCTGCAATCCATACGTAATTCTTCTGTCTCAGTACGAACGAAATCCAACACTGAAACATGAAACGAGCACTGATAACAATAACTTTAGATAAACTGTGTTAAATCCATGCAGGAGCTTAACCTGAACATGTTTTCACAGCTGCTTGTACTTATAAGCAACTCACTAACATTATTAGTGATAAAGTGCAGCTCTCTCACTCTCCAAACCTTACATTCTTTCAAATTAAGAGGCATGTGCTCATCTTTATGTCCACATCCTGACCTCTTAGATCACTTTAAAGCTATTGGAGCTTACAGAAGTCTCTCTTCATACAGCTTAGATAAAAAAGAAGGGACATACAGGCCAACTTTATCACATTTCAAGCAGTACAATATGATCTTGCAGCCCCCCACATACCTTCTTAGCTATAACCAAAGCTCAAAAAATGCCCCCTCTGTGCTTAAATTTTGCTTCTGTGAATGCCCAGAGACACCTCAGCCTTGACACAGATGAAATTTACTTCCCAACATCAGAATACAAGACCTGAGGCATTTCCTCAACTCACTCTGACTTGGCTCTACCCAATAGTCAGTAATCTAAAAGTTCTTCATGACACTGTCTAATAAAATGCCTGAGATTTGAGAGGACGGGTGTTAGGATTTACTTTAAATATGCTTCTCTCCTAGCCCTCTCTATTCCCTCCTCTGTGGTGAATACTAACTGAATGTAAGGTTTAAACATCTAACTCTCATTTCAGGGTTCTATTACTGACACACAGGAAAAAGGTCTGGTGCTCAAGTATCTTTGCAGGTTCTATTTCAGAGTCCAGTGTTCCAGCAGCAAGATCTAAGATATGTTCCAGTACAGTTTTAAAACATCTAAAATATTCTTCTGACAACTCCTTTTGTTGTTGAGTCTGAAAATTGCACTGACATCTGCACTGCACTCAATTCCTGAGTCCATACAACATGTACTTTGTGCCTATACCTATGCAGGTCTGCAAAAGCCACAGACACAATTTTTAAAATACACACAAGTATATGTATGCTTTTGATGATGCTGATATCCATGATATACAGTCTATCTCCAGCATGATGAATTCTTTATCAACTTTAACTTCATTTAAGTGCAATGGACTACCAGCATGTCAAGAGTGAGAACCCAAGGTACACTGTGTGTGCCCAGCACAGCAGCAGTCAGCATTTATATGCACTAGAAATTACTGTGTGACATCCTTACCTAATATCAAAGTGCTGCATTTCCCCGTTTAGAAACATGCAGTCTCTTGGCAGATGTGAGATTTTCTTTTTATTGAAAGCATTTTCTTTTCAAACCCATGACTTGTTCCATATTTGATAGCAGCTAAAGCTACTTATCACACCCTCATCGGCTTTGACAAGTTACAATATAAGCTGCTACTACAGTTCCCCATTGCACTTAGATCAGGACTGACTGCATACAAGAGAGATATTTTCAGAAGACAAACTCTTTCATTTCCTTCATTCTCCTGCCAAACCCTCTAATTTCCTTCTCCTGGAAGCAATGACAGTGAAGCTACGTAGCATCAGTAAGGCTTCACGTTCACATGGTTATGGTTTCTGTGACCAAAAACCCCAAGATCTTATGAGGAAGAGTTTTTTTGTTTTTAGTAATTGTTGGCATGGTGCCTAACTCTCCCTTGCCTCCACACTTATATAATCATTGGAACCTCATACAAAGTGTTCGTAAAATACTAACAGATCTGCATAAGTTAGTTCACATCTAATTTTGCAAATGAGTATGTTGTGAGTCAGGCTGCAAAGGACAGTATTTGTCATACCATCTGGTTTAATACAGTGATGTACAGAGTGATGTGGCTCCATAAGGTCCATCTTTTCCACTGTGTAGCATCTTATTTTTTAATATCTTTATTAGCATTAACGGATATATCCATTATACTAAGTAAGGTATTGCTAAATGCAGAGTTGCGTTTACTGTAACAAAAATAGTTCTAGTGTTTCCAGTAATTATTTATTTATTTGCAACAGAAGGTAAAAAATCTTGTGAAGTGCTGCTAAAGAGTTTAGTGCCAATAAGTTACTGAACATTTGGGTACCCAAAAATAGTGGTCAAATGATCTATCTAGTCTTATTTTTGTTGACAGCTGGAAAGGGCTGAGTTTTAGTTACCAAGCTAGAGATAAAATCATTCTTTCTGCATTTATTTAAGATGTTGACTGAGTTATGACAGCTTTTCAGATGAAGCTACAGATACAGCTTTTATACAAGTTTTGTAGCAATTTCCTGACATAGAAAGTTTTCCAGTCATTTATTATATGCAAGGGGACAAAATGAACAGTACAACAAATCATTGCCAGTATCAAGTAGCCAAGGTGTAACACACACACAATTGTCATAAGATGAAATTTGTATAGCATTTTCAATCTATAGAAGGCTTTGTCTTTACCCAGCAACTCTTAACTAGATGCATGATTGTAAACTGGCAAACAGTTTCAATGAAACCCAGGACACTATTAATTTACTTCAGTTATGCACATGCTCAAGGGTTTTGTTGCATCATAATTTGTGAGGATGTTGCAGCATAAATCCCTGTAAAGGTCTCTGTGATTGTAACTCATTATTAGCCTAATTACTGCCTGCATTGTGCTGGAAAGCTGATGCTGTATGTTTGTGTACTCACAGTGCTAAAGTTTGTTTTTAAGAGAGTCCAGTCTGTTATCACTGATAGGCTTTGAAGTTATCTGAGCTCCAAACTCATGTCTATGATTTGCTTTAAAGACCTTTTGTTTTAAGGGATTGTCCATGAATAACCTGAACAGATTCCACAGATGTTGATACTGAAGCATGCAATTCCAGCTGTCATCAAGGAAAGTGTCAACAGGAAAACTAAGCCATGTAGGAGGAAGGTGAAGGTGATCAGCAATTACAGACAGCCATACTTTAGTGTTTTAGAGGTTGTAATCCTTTTAGATTTTTTTAAAACTTCCATTCTGATCACAGTTTTGCCATTCCTTTTTACTCACTTCCAGTAATATAAAAGAGTGTGATATCATCTCATACTCAACTATTTGAGTACTAAAAACTCAAAGTAAAAACAGTTAATTACAAAAAAGGAGCACATAAATTAGCAGTCAATAACCTGAGGTATCCATCTGGTTGACAAAACCAGAGCAAACAACTTCCCTTTTTTAATAGGAAGGTACAGTCTGTGAGAACTGCTGGCACAAGCCACAACAATCGATTACAGCAAGAATCAGGTTTTGTCTTCACAATGAGGAAAAGTTGAGCAGAGTATAATTACATCTGTAGTCTCACCAGACGAACGTTAAGTCTCCTAATAAGCAGCTATATCATCCTGCAGGTTATTCTGTCTTCGACCACCTAAGGTCTAACAGCCACTCAGCATTGCTGCCCTAGTTTTAAGGAATCAGCCCAAAAGTCACCCATAGACTTTCTTAGGAACTGGAGGGGACCTTCTGGGTGCTGAAGTCCAGTCTGTGGAATCTCAGACAATCCCATCACACAGAATGTTCACAAATGCATCCCTTCCTTTACAATATTAGATGTATCTTTCTATGTCCCATTATTCACAGGGTGTTACTACCACTTCTTTAATACCAGAAAGTATTTTCTGATTACCAGTCCACAATAATTTCTGGCCATTTAAACCAATTTGTTGTCATGCCTTGTTAAACTAGTCCTCTTCCTGCTGCTCATGCATTTTATGTGCTCATAGAGGACAAGTATATTCCTTCAGTTTTGAAAGCTCCTTCAACCTCCATCATAAAACAGGTCCTGTATTTCCTCTGTCATCTTTGTAACCCTATTCTTTTTCCAGTTTTGAATTCCTCCATTTTGAAGAACTTTCCACTGATACAGAAGGCCAGTCATTAAGACTTTGGATCAGCGCTTCTCATTAGATCATTATCAGTTTATAAAACAAAGGGAACCCTTAAATAAAGAAAAAATCTTACCGCCTGGTTCCAGTTGACAGCAATTCTATTTGCATAGCCAAAGAGGAACACAGAGAGGAACACAATGGACAGGAACCATGCAGTCACTGCTACAAACATGACCCATCCCTGCAGCAGTGGCAGTGGAACTTGGGTAGAAGCGACCAAAATCCAGACTATTGTTCCAAAAAGCTGCAAGGGAAGGAATATAGAGAATGAATTGAGAGATAACTTTTATTCAGTCATTTCTGCCTAAGAACTGATATCACACATTACACATCATCAGATTACTCTTAGGAACCAAGAGGAAACACTTCCAAACTACTCTGAAAGCCAAGTCCTCTTCTCAGAAATGATAGGCACTAAGTGGTGGTAGGACAAAGCCACTCTGAAATTCTTCAGAGTTCTTAAAATAGTCTTGAAAATGGGATTTACGAACCCAAGTGACTTGTGTGCTCCTGCTGCTGCTGAAAATTCTTACCCTTAGTCTCATTTTGAGGAAAATATAAGAAATGTGAAGCAAATCTATCTACATATACTAAAATTGGCATGAGAAGGACGTACTTCAGATTTTGATTCAATCTCATACTATTCAATTTAGTAGTCCTAACCAGATGAGATACAGAAAAGATGAAACTACTTCTCTTATTCAATGTATTTGTAATAACAAACTGAAAGAGAACACATTAAGCAATAAAGTGAAAGAGAAAACTAGAATACACAATAAGGCATGTTGTAAATTATGTTGTAAAGATTAGAAAAATATACAGCTTTCCAGAATCATCATAACTTGAGGAAGAATTCAGTACTGCCAATTTTCATTTCAGCATATTGATCACAGCGAATGAGTGAGAGGGACACAGTGCTATGATGGACTGATGGAGAATTTATGTACTCTATGACTTCCCTGGTTTAATCAACTCTTGGTGTAAGGAAGGCTACTATTTCTTCCTACAAATCCTGCCTCTTAATAAAAAAAAGATAAATGGAGTGAATCAATTGTCACCTGAAGTATGTTCATTTATTACAGAAAGATTTAACTTCATAATCCAACCTGCTGAATAGTGACAACCACAATCAATTTCCAAGCAAGTTACTTCTCTCCTGTTTAAATTCTACAGATTTACAACCAGGAAGTCAGAGGTTACATTTTCAGATTCAGAGAACTTCCTTTTGTATCAAGGTTGGATGAGAGATACCTTTTAAATAATGTCTGCTATAAAATTAGTTGGTTCCTCTCTCATGTTACTTTGCAGCAGCACATATGTAAAGATGCATTGTAAGTCTCAGTTCAAAGCTCCCAAGGGTTTATGTATTAGCGTTCAAGTTGTTCTCTAGGGTTCCTTTTTTAGCTGCTGTGAAGAACCAAACTTTCTCTAGTTTCACAAAACTGCAGGTGCAAGTCTGTTACTCAGTGAGCAGATAGTGATGGGCAGTTAGGAAGCAGAAGGGATGCTGTCAAACAAAGTTTGACAGAAGTGTCTGTCAAACAAAAAAAACTGAGTCACGTGAAATGTTTTCAGTATTTTGAATGTGCAAACTTGCAGGGTTCTTTAAAAATAAATTTAGAAATGTACTGTAGAGACTGCTAATCTCAGTGCTCACTATTGTGTTATTTCACACCACACCTGTCCACTTCAGCTCAGCTGTCAGATATACAATAGGTGGGCCAACCTAATTAACCTTTTGTTCCTACTGACTCAGGGCCTGATTTAGTGCCTGGACTTGTGTTTTGAGCTCCTTGCTCAGGCGGAGTTTTATAGCTTGTGGGGCGGGACCCAGCTCACAAGCAGCATTCTGCTCTGACCCCGAGAAAAAAAAAAAAAGTTAATAAAAACAGTTCTACCGTGGTTTTTTTTTCCCCCTCTTACTTATCAGTACAAGGGCACTGCAGAGCCTCATACACGGCCTTAGCTCAAAGGTCTCAGCCCCGTGTACACCAGCGAGGACTTACACATACATGACATTAAACACACTTGTAGGAGTCTGCACAGGACCAGTAACGCACGCGCGCAGGAAAACCCGGTGTAACTCCACGGTGCGATTTTGGGTCTGGGTCACTGAGTGGCTTAAAGTCCTCGACAGCTCAAA